GTGATGATTTTTGTATAAGTTTTCCAGTTTCCCTCCATTGATAAATATTTTCGAAAGTGCTATGACAATGAATGCAGATAAGAGCTCATAAAACCTCAGAGATTCGTCAAAATAATACTGGTTCCGTATTGAAGTTTGCCTTTTGTCTCCGCCACCCGTCGCCAGTGCATTGTTCTTCCTCAACTTTCCATTCTTAATTTCTGTGTAACTAGTTTCATTGTATCCCTTCCTTCTGTGCGTACACTATGAGAAACGTGAACAAAATTTCGTGAGCGCATTAAAGTAATATTGGTCTTTGAAATTACGGTTGTTTAAGTTAAAATAGTGGGTATGGCTATGATTGTTTATGCGCATTTAATCAATCTTTCTACATTTTTCTTTTACTACATTATGAACTGCGTCGTAGGCCCCAAAAAAATTCATGAATTAAAACCGTCAGCAAAGCTCCAACAAGCATACGATCGATGATCGATCCAAATAAACTTCTATTGCCCTTCTAAAGGTCTCGTCTCACGCACATAGAGGGGCTAATAGTAAATAAATGTAGCTCAAGTGGCACACAATAAGAACAAAATTTTAATAGTAATATCTAATCTTTATTTGAGTATTTACGAGGTGCGCTATGCGACATACTGACCCACATATCTTGAGGTAATCGCGCGTGACAATACACAAACGTTGCGTGTGTAAACTATAATATTCATCTATATACCATTCATTAAGCGGTTCATTTGCATTTATGCGAGAAGTCGAGCAAGTATTTGTGAGTAGTAAATGGCAAATCTTCAGTAATAGAAACAGAATAGTGTAGTATAAGGTTTGATGCGTGAAACAGTCGTTAGTGCTGTAACTAGAGCACCGAGAGAATAAAAGATTTTAGCACCGCAGCGAGTGGCGAGACATGTTTTGCTCTGTTTCACCTTGACAATTGCACCGGGTTTACAGAATATTAGAGCCCGTGTTATTCGTGAACTTAATAATAAAGGAAACAATAATTTTTTGGTACAATAAGCTACATTTGCGTAATTTATTCTAAAAGTTTTCATTTTATAGAAAAGTATATTCTTAATTTGTTTATATAATTTTTATTTTGGAAATGATAAAATCTTTAACATTATATTCAAATGTGACATTTAATTTTTTTTTAATCCGTAGCTTCTACCAGCGATTTTGTTTACGTTTAAAAGTATTTTCATAAGCTTCACCAAATTTCATCAAAATCTGTTAATTCATTTGGACATGATCAAGTAACAATATGTAAATGAATAAATAAAACACGATACAACAAACAGCCAGGCTCGAGACAATATAAAAAGAAAAGTGAGTTTCTACACTGACCCGGCCGGGTATCGAACCCGGGACCACCACCATGAAACCACCGGTGTGCAGGCCAGTCGACCACGGAGATCGTAAACATTTTTTTTTATGATATTAAATGTGGGGATGAACGAGTCGTGCGCCTGGTATAAGTGACACAACTGCCCATAACAGTTGCAGTGCTACTCAGAGCTATAAATCGCAAAGATCTGAGGGGCACTGCCACTGCGCACGGGCGACACCCTGAGACATAAGTTGACAAGTCCCACGTGCCTGTAATTTCACCAGCACCCTAACCCTTCAAACCCGGAACGCAGTAAAGACCATATTACTATAGTATTACCTACTACTTGCCTTTGCTTACAGAAATAGGTAAGGTGCTCTACTGTTATTACTTCCCTGGACGAACTCTTCTGTCCATCCATCAAAACTTCCCATTTATAATATTAGTAACAGAATTTCAGTTTCGGAAGCGAAATGAAATAACTTTATTTTTATTTAATGAACTAAGAAAAGTCACCGCACGTCACACGTTAACAAAACGCTACATAGTATAGGCGCTAACCCTCAAAAGACTTTCTGACTTTCGCCTGAAACCTGTTTATTACATTTTAACTACACGTTTCACAATATATCTTTGTTAAGCCATAAAATAAAATGTTATATTTTTGTTAATGACTAGGTATATTTTTAGCACCGTATTTGTTTCCTTGTCATTATTATAATCATTCTGCTCGAACAACATACAATTTAATTACGAGTGAATACGTTATAAAGCACACAGTTTCACGGTTAAGTGAAAAGGAAATGTGCCGGTGCTGGTGTACCACTAGGTCAGGCCGATAGCTCGATCGCCCTTGGCCCAAATTTCCGGGCAGAAATTAGGTCGCCTACCATCAGAGTCCAGGTGCATTGCGTTCCATACTATATTCACAATGTACAGGTAGATTATGGGTCGACATTGATTGATTACCACACCTTTAATATTATCACAAACTTTTATAGAGAACGTTTTATGTTAAGAGCGTTAAAAGCATTGTCGAGTATATCGCGGTTTCAATTGATAGCGCTGAAATTATTTTGCTTCTAATAAACATTTAGTATACTTTACCAGAGCAACAGGTATGTAGATACAGCTAGGAATAGTATTGCTTGCATTCACGTACAGATATCTACTAAAACTGTAAAATCATTTACGCCTTTCTTCGATTAGTCTTTTGAACTTGACACGGTGGGTATAATCAGAGATTAATAAACTTTATTACAAGGTTATTTGCATTGTTATTTGTTTTTATTACTAAATCTCTTGCATTTAGAGCAATAAGATATGCTTTGAGAAGATTGCGTCTGCGTGTCGGGTGGAAACCAGAAAACTGAAAAGAAAGTATATCCTTTCTCCCAACTTTTCATCTTTAACCTTTATTACGCATAAAGTCACACGTAAAGCTGAACCAGGTAGACAAATGATATTTTAATTCAACTCTGTGGAGCATGAAATATGAACGGTCCAAAGTCCAAAGTGTCAAGTCTGGTGTGTCCTTGACTGTACATAAATAAGGGATCGTTAACGATTTGTTTTAATATTTATCATTTCAACATTTCGTTTGTTATCGCTAAATTAAGATTCTTATCAAACTTTGGGTTTAATTACACAAGTCAACACATATTTTGTGCTTAACGGTTTGAGGGTATGATAATTAGAATAACAGATAATAAGCGAAAATTACTAACGAGAACTATTGTCCCCAAAGGTTATTGTTTTAGTAATTTCAAGAATGACGTCATAATGACTTGATATACATAAACATGATGCGATTTTAAAACATACGGAGGCTAAATAATAAAGTTTGAGAGAGTGTTTATGTTTTATTTGTGATTTTTTATGCACAACAAATAAGGAAGTTTATGCTAATGCAAGAACAAGTCAACATGTAATCGAATATTGTATTTAGTTTTCTTCAAAAGCGCATACGTTTTGTGTCAATCCATCAACATCATGTGAATTGAATGTATTCCGCGAAGCTTTCAACGACACTGTTGTTCGCTAAATAAAAAAGGGCCGTAAAACGAACTTTCTCTACATTGCCTCTATAAATTTGATAGATATTTTATTGAAGATAAAACACGGGTATTTATAGCTTTATTGCAAGAGCAGAAAATCATTCATTACCGATGATGTGGTGGTCTAATGATGAGTAGACACTTCGTACGTTTATGATTGGAAGGTAGAGTCTTTACGAAAAGTGTTATGTCATGCCTAAGTCATTCAACACACCGACTGAGAAGTTCCTTGTTTAACCCTGAAATTGTGGTGCCAATGTTGGTACTGGACTTTAATGTTTGTCAAGAGTAATGATTAATTCTTCAAAATTCCCCAACAAGGTGAAGGTTGAAATAAAAATACGGTGTGCACAATGCACAATATTTTTTTTTAGTTATATTGAGATTATCTAGAGCTACCTACATATAATAAAGGAGATGTGACACAATATAATTGCTGTATGTATTATCAATTGCTATAGGCACAGCTGTGAAATAAAATGCATGTAGGAAAACGTAACAAACTCTTCGAAGGTATAATACCCAATTTGCATTGGAGCAGCGTGATAGACTAAAAGGCATGGGCTAATGGTGGCAACACATTAAAATACGTAACCAGAATAATTTAACAAAAATAAAATAGTTATTAATGCAAACAAACAAAAAATTCCTTGGATCCGGCTGGATTCGAACCAGCGTCTTTCAGCGAACCGTGCTTGACGCTATGCCAACTAAGCCAAGGAACGAACCAGCGGCCCTTACGAATTTTTTAATGTGCTGTTTTATGCGTTGTGTTTATGTGCAGATCTTTATTTTCGGTTTTTAACGAAGCCGTAGCGCCATCTCTGAGAAATCTATTTCTTCAAAAGTAAAGTGTCCTACCTTTAACTTACCATATACTTGTATGACGTCCGGAAGACTACATTCAATAAGCTTACTGAAACCGGAGATGTTACTATGAACGAGGTAAAACCGTAGAAAACTAATTTAGTATTTACATAGTGCAAACAATATTGAGGAAATGTTTATTGTACACCTGGATAAGTAAAGATATTACGGCCAGAAACGAGCAATGTAAATTAAAATATTGATGACCACTTTTAGTGGTGACTGTTCATAATGTGTAACGGTTCATGATATTAATAGGGCCGTTACAGTTTTTAGTACATAATATATAAAAGATATCGGGGCCTTATTTCTAAGGGTTCTTATTCAGCAAAAATATTGCCTTCAAGCTGTCTTAAAGTAATTATGAAGACATAGAACTGAGTGAATCCCGGCTTCAGCGCTCGTTCGTCACTAATATAGGCAATAGGATATATAACCCTATCTACAAAGACAACATTCGAATGATCGTATACCGAAGTACGTACAACATATACGTACAACGCGCGTTTCATGGAAAATGATTTTTTTCCAGTAAAAGACGCAATAATGTTGTTTATGTGTTTAAAATGATGAAAGATTTTTGTAGTAGTAGATGTTCGAGTGGGTGAGAGATGACAAAATTATTTTTTATTTTAATATTATGTTTTAAAACCTCGCTTTCTATATCTGTAACGTAGTAGCGGGTGATTCAACATGGGAACAAGATGAAATTATAGTATGATTTATCTTCTAATAAACCAAAAATTGTTACTTACCGATAGTTTTGAGGATCTGAAGGTCGTCGAGTTCATATTCTTTTTCTTCTTCCGTATACTCGGATTCGGAAGTGGTGGACTCCTGCTCTTCAGTGGAGGAAGCCACGGATAAAGACCTGACGTCGGAACTCAGCTCCGAACTACAGTCACGAACCAATTTAGCACTGGCCATTATCATCGTAAAGTTCACGCCACAGAAAACTGCAAATCCCTATACGAAAAGTTTTACGTCCATAATTCTACCACCGTCTTAATATTTCACACGTACAGTTTCTAAAAGACTAGAAAATAGGAAGTTTAGTTTTTTTAGGAATAGAATAAAAATTACAAACGTGACAATTTTTTGTATTAACACGATTTGTATTTATTGTCGTCGAGTGCGATCGCGCGAACGTTATTCAAAATCGACGACACGTTCTCTCCCTGACGCTGTTTGAATCTCACTAAACCGGCGGCGGCGTACGAATCTGCAGAACTACTACCGCTTTACATCGAAACTCGTCGACTTAACGCTTTTACTCAACGAGCACTGTACAGCTTTTGATAAATAGCCTATTTTAATCAGCGATCTTCAAATTTTATAAAAATATTTGCAAAATGAACTAGATAATCAGCACACAAACATGTTGAAGATTTATAGGTTCAAGAAGCACATAGTGACTTTAATTTAATAACGTTTTCATGGCGTTTGCCAAGTAGTCTTCCCAATAAATCCTTAACAAACATTGAAGATTTTGTTATTACGAAAATTATGAGTTCGTAGTAGTGTAAGTGCTGTAAATCTAGACCGATGGAGAAACTAGACCAGGGGACTTGAAAACAGAAGACTATTTCTAACACATAATCACTTTTTACCGCGAAATTTATATCGTTTCGAGATTTTAAAGCGGATTTGTGATAATTAAGTATACCTATTTAGTAATTACAATATTTTTGCCATTTGTATGACAGTACAACGATCTCATTCAGGTAAGTTTGTAGTGAGCCAAAATACATAGTGCTTGATAACAATTAATTAATAACAATTTCTTAATAAAATTAAATCAAATATTACAATTTTGCTGTATACATTTCATAAAAATTCTGTTGCTTTAGTATCACAATTGGATTCTACTTGCAAGTAAGCTTTAGCAGTGTCCATACCGTGCTAACAATACGCCTATATAAAGTCTGCGTATAGTATGAACACGGCGCAAATATGTGCCGATATGTCTGACAATACTACAAAATAATAACACTAAGAAACGATAAAACTAACCAGTTTCAATACTATCTCGAGCATTCATTCCTTTTAGCAAATGCAATTATCATTAGGAGAACTTACCTTGTGAGAGTTCGTCCAGGGATGTACTGCCACCATACCTATGTCTGCCGCCAAGCAGTAATGTGAGCATTAGGTACTGCGTTCCGATAGTGACAGCGCAACCTTTTTCATCGTCATCCCACTTTTTTAATCACCCTTTTCTCTGGTTCCTGGCCACTTACTTTTGAGATTTTGAATCGTTCTCTAATTCTCTTCATGATTCTTACTTTACTTCGTCTATCCTCACGCCATACCATCGGGTATATAACCAAAAATAGAGATGAAATAAGGGCCATACATTCCTGGTAACTCATCAGTGATACATCACTTATAAACATCAACTCTCGTTTGCACTGAAATATACAAGCGCCAACATCCGACCTGTGTGTACGTCTCCATATACTCCAAAAATATTCTGTATTTATTGAAATAAAGATAATATCTCTAACAATGGCGTGCTGTTTCATTTGGTGGTGTGGGGAAAAACAACAAAACATCTAATTACAAATCAAATGGAATTAAATTTCATCGGTAATTAAATATTAAATAATTATGTGATTTTGCAATTTTCGTCCATTATAGCAAAGCTCAAGTTAACTGGTAGATTTGAAGTGAAACAATTGACGACACCCATTGACGACACCCGTCAATTGTTTCGAATTTGGGCTGGCCAATCAGAGCGCAATTGTCACAGTAATGATATGGCAGAATAGTTTTCAAACAAATTAAATGACATTTCATCTCTATTTCTGGTTATATACTCGATGCTCCATACAAAATTCTCGAGGCGAGCAGAATATGCTCTTAATCATGTAACCAACTGCTTATAAGCAGCAATATATTTCATACGAATACCTTGTGCGGTAAGTTCATTAATCATATAATAATAAACTAATAAGTACTAATATCCGTAGGGAGTGTTTTTATATTATTGTATATGTTATACGTACCTGTTTTTGTTACAGCCTTTTGTGTCCTTCCTTTCTTCTTTCCTTCACCTGTTTCCTGCTGTTGTATTTCTACGATAAATTCGTGTGAACCGAGGGTACTTTCTATCATTACGCAGGACCCGCATGACACGGTTTTGAAGGGTAAGGGTGCTGGTGAAATTACAGGCAAATGGGACTTGTCAACTTATGTCTCAAGGTGACGGGCGCAGTGGCAGTGGGCCTCAGATCTTTGTGATTTAAAGCACTGAGTGGAACTGCAACTGTTATGGATAGGCGTGTCACATGTGAGCGACATTTTCGTCCCGTCACTTGGTATCATAAAAAAATCTTTACTGTAAATTAAAATACCTAAGTTCATTTGTGTTTGTGTAAATTAAACAAAGTCACTTTGAATAAAAAAATGTATTTGACAATAAGCTTAACATGTATCACAATCATCCAAGATATACAAAGACGTTAAATATAGTATCACTATGAAATCCGATATACGTTTCTCTTTACATATGAGAATAAATTATTATAGCTAATCTATACAGGTATACACTAACATGTAGTAACTTATACAATACTGGGTATATAATAACTCGTCTTTAAGCTGAACAGTTAAAGAATAATTATTATACCTAGATCTTGCTTATATTGTAGAGGCTCTAGGTCACGTATAATTGTGTTAAAAAAACCAAATAAAGTGATTAAAAATAAATTATGGCAAGGATTTCGTGATGCTAGAGATAAATAAGATTTATAAGTTATATCTTTGGAGTGGGGACAAATTTAAAAATATAATTAGTACTCTATGCAAAACTATGTAGAGACGGCAACATATCAAGCTACACATTAACGGATCTTGTTTCGTTGCACTGAAGGCGATACTCGAACAAAAGTGAACAGCCTGATGTGCTGTTTACTGTACATACTATGTACATGCTGTCAACGTTACATTCAGCTTTACACTTTGAACTTAAGAATCGTTCTTGTTAATTACGCATTCGCTCTGAATAATCACATGGCACCGCGCAGTGCAATGCGCAGGAGTGCCGAAATGTTTTTATCAATATCTGTGCAATTAAAACCTTCAGGTTAACTGCACATTGAATTTATATATTCAGCAATTATTCTAAATCTTAAAATATAATAAGCACTTAATTTTTCAATTAAGAACCTAAATAGGAACTAATAAAAATCTAATATTATACATATGTTTATATATATTGCACAAGAAACCAAATATTGTCGTAACTAAAAACTGGTGAAATTGAGACACGTTTTGAAATTTAAAAAAACTGAATGAAAACCATAAATTCATATTCTCGTTCGTAAGTGGATAACTAAATATTATGTATAAATAATCCCATTAGTCGCAATAAGATCCATTCAGTAATTCGCACCCCTCTTGAAAGAATGGCATAAATGGAGTTACGTCATACACGTGTATTGCTTTGCTTTGCAATTCTTGTACCTCTATCTACAATATTAGTCGTTATAGACTTGGAGTGTAGGTTTGATTTTTCTGTATCTAATGGAGCAATAAACGTTTTTGACGTAACTCCACTTATGCCATTCTTCCAAGAGGGGTGCAAATTTTTTTTTATTTCAAATTGGGTTTTATCGAGTCCACTGTTCTTGTTACGACATTATTTGGTTTCATATGCAATGTATAATATTATATATACCTACTTAATATATATTATATACATTCAATAATACTTAGGTACAGTTATAAACGTTATACCTACATAATAAAGTTCAAATAATATTAGACCTCGAGTGTGTTTAAAACGATGCATAAAATTTCACAGCTCGAACGGTCGGACAAAAATGTGTGTCGTCTGCACTGGGTTAAATATCCTCATTTCGATCAAAATTGTGTATCTCCCGGTTTATTAATCAGAAACCTAACTTAACTTCAGCTAGGACCGTTATGTAATAAAATAAGTTCTCCGGGCTGACATTTCCCTTAGTCGCTCATACGTAGCGATTTTTAATTATTTAAATAGATATATGTTATTTATAACTGTATTATTCATTATAAAAGCTGAATACCCTTACAATATACAAATACAATACACTCTCGTTAGAGGCGCCCGCTAGCATAGTATAATAAATAAGACAAGTGTGGTAACTCCATACAAACGTAGCAGCGCGGTTTGTATGTGTGTGCGACTGACGCGCACCCTGCACGAACGCACACATAATCGCATAATTTTGCGATTGCACGTTGCATAGCACTGGTCGTAACACGCAATATTATGCGAAAGTGTACGTCTGTACACGGTGCGCCTATTTCTAGGCAGATAGGGTTCACATTTTCATAACATACTACAAATAACGCTATTCTTAATTTAACTTTCATAAGCCTTGCTTATGAAATTGCGTATAGAGTTTCCATGCTTGTCTTATTATTCTATGCCACTATCAACTATCATAATGGGACAATGATAATTATGAGGGCTACTAATAAAATAATAATTATGAGGGTATACAGTACATAGTTCACCATAAATGTCTCTAGCAACCAATCATTCTTTGATTAAATATCACTAATGATACTCTATGTAACATAGTATGGGACACCAGCAATTACCACTACGCCAACTTAAAAATTGCAACAAAAGTTGCGATAATTGCTTTTTAATTTTCAAACATGTATTGGTTTGATTTTTTACAGCAAGTTATTCATCACAGATTATAAATATCGTCTGTTTAAAGGTAAAACTTTAAGTGCCTCTGTGGCCCGAACGGTTACCATACTGGACTGCCACGCAGCGGTCCTGGCAATTCCCGAGTCGGAAAAAATATATATCTGTGGTGAGAAAATCACGATATATCTGCACGCAAAAGTCTTATTATGTTTGTAACTTCTTTTTATTATTGACTATTTGTATTATTTTCTTAATTTTGAATTTATTTTTTATTTTGTCATTAAAAACAGTAGTATTAATGGATGGTGTTGATTGTTTAAAACACAGACATTTATCTAAATGGACACAGCAAGTACCGGGATTTATATTTATTTAAAAAAAATAATAAGTGCGCATTTGACCTCCGTCTCACCTGATGGAAAGTGACGATGAGGTCAAGGATGTAGCATGCACACCTAAATAATTACTATTCACTCTCGCCTTGAAAATGACGTCACAAGCGCCATTTAGTGATGAGAAATCTCCTTCGGCACCAAAGCGATTGATTAAATCGAAGACGCGGACGAAGCACGTATTTAGAATAACGATTTTTCAAGTATTTGTTGATAATAAAAAGCCGTTTTACTATATTAACATTTCAATGAATATAGTAAAATAATACCAGAATAAGATAATTAAATCCTACAATAATACGTGTTTTGAAAAGAAAATTTGCTCCGAAACGATTACGACGCAGTAAAACAATTTCCGGAAATCCGAAATTCGAAAAATTCAATGAATGGAATAGAATTTGGTGGTTTTAACAACTCTGTCACTCCTAGTAGTGTTAGCTTACCCAATCGATTCGGTATAGGAGAGAACCAAGGAATAATCACTGCAGGCTCATAATTAACATATTGCTTTTATTTTTCATTTTTAATAACACGAACTCGTCCGATGACTTTCGCCGTCACCCCCCAGTGTTGTCATCTTTTTTTTTTTCAAAATTACCCATCCTAACGAATTCGACAACTAATTTTCCAAATTTAGTAATTATTGTAAGTCGTGATAAGCATTTTAAAGTAAATAATAGATTAAACAATAGTTTTTACTAACAGTAGCTATACATGTATAGATTTGGAACACCTTTTTCCGACCTATGCTCAAAACACATTATATCGTTCGACAGTATGGAACAAATCTGTAGGCACCCTATCGATATTGTTGATCGACAGTAACGATCGACAATGTCGAGCTAAGCTGCAGGCACCCGATCGACAATGTCGAGCAAATCTGTAGGCACGCCATAGACAATGTCGAGCAAATCTGTAGGCACGCGATAGACAATGTCGAGTCTATTTAGATTTATATATATGGTTTAAAAGCTTGACTGACCATTATATATAGAAGCTAAAAAAGATGTTAGTGTAATGAAATAAGTTTTAGTTATAACACCAAAGATAACAATTGAGAAAGACAGTATGATGGTTTTGATTTTTGTTTATGAAACAAATGTTGGATAAATAATATTAAATATTTAAATGGCAAAAAATGGTTGTTTTATAACACTTAATAAATTCAAATTTCATTTCATTACCATATGAATAAAATGAAATTAATAAAACGACCATATTCCAATAACTTACCGTCTATATGAAAACTTCTTTAGCTATACAAAATGCACGTAATAATCTATTAAGACGAATTATGTAACAATATTTATGCAACAAAAACAAAATTTAATATTTACAAGATTCTTAGAAATAATGGTGAAGAGAGCGTAGTAAATACTTTACATACTAATAGGTACTTTTAAAGAATGAACAGTAAAACAATTTTTTGCACAACGAAATGCAGTAATACACATTAAAATATTGACAAGGGTTATTATATTTTACATTCCCAGGCTTCTTCTCTTGTATCTCCCCCAATCATAATGCATTACCTCTGTCTGCAGAACGAATGATTGAATACACAGCCAAGGCCATGTGTAAACGTGAGTAAGACTAAAGGCTACTGATAAAATACATTTGTATCTTGCACAATATTTCCATAAATTGAAAAAACTGCCTTATAGCTACATACGTTTAAAGTTCTAAGGTTTCGGCACTTTTATTACTTTAAACTATTCTGGTATTCTACCATAAATATAAAAGTAACCTTCCTGTTTAGTGGGTTTGGACTTTGTGGATCTCACTAGTGCCACGTTACACTCTAGGGCGGTTCACAATACTGCGATTTGACAGTGGACAACACAACGATTTGTAGGAATTGGACTATTTCCTCGGATCTAAATCGCGTACAATTGTTACAAACAAAGTAACGTTTCGGGCTCTTTAAGGGTTCCAAGGCAACGGCTGACTGGAACCATGAGACTTGTAAAGGACCTGAAACTTTGGTTTGTGAAAAAACCAATATACGCAATTTAGATCCGAAAAAAATTGTTTCATTGCGTATGTTTAACAATAAGAACGCGATATTACGATTTGTGACATTACAATTAGATTGAATCTGTATTATGTTCACCTCACCGTAAAGATGCATCGACATAGAATAAGTATAAATCTTTCTCACTAGTTAATGAGTATTATTATTTTATGGTAAAACTGATTCAAACATATTACACACTTCGAGTTAATTCTGAGAAAAAAATATTCTTATGTACACTGGGAATGTTCATGCACATCAACAAAACATTTCAACCCCTTTTCGTTTGATCTCTTAACGTACATGTAAAATGTGTCAAAGAACTATACAGTCACAACAAACACGACACCAGCGTGTGTAGCTACGGCTAACCTTGAATGGTATGTTGCTGATCGACAGAACGCCATTGACTTGACATCTGCTAAAGGAAATCGTTCTGGGTACACCTCTCTGAAGTTGTGCGTGATTGGTGTCAGAGACTGTGTAGAAAATTAAAGCAATTTTGTAATGAAAACTTTAAAAAAATTGTTGTTATGGCAAATCAAGTAAAATTTCTAAAGCCGAAGCTTTGTAGTTTTGATAAGTTATAGAACTATACAGTTATAGAAGTATTCACTCACCGAATCCAAGGCGAATTCTATTCCATATTTGGTAATAGCGTCATCATACGTCACCGGCTCCAATTTCACCGTGAGGTCATCATTGGCCTTCTGTTTCCTCTTCTTCCCAAGTCGGACCATTTGTATACTACCGACAGTCTGAAAAATAATACACAATTATGATTGAGTAAATTGCAGCAGAAACAAATTAATTCAATCGAAACTATTACAGTACTATTTAACTAAAGTGCATATATCGTGTGAATAAAAATTCACTTCGACGGTTCGGACATGTTGCATCGTCTGTGGTCTCGAAAGGACATGACCTGATTCAGGACGCAACACGTCCGAAACGTCGAAGTAAATAAAATATATTTATACATGGTCTTGTAGGGACTCTGGGTCAGGTCCCTTCGAGACCATAGACGGTAAACTTTTAAATGATTAGTTATATAATGTAAGTTGTTTTGATACTGACATGTACATGTTTTCAACAAAGACATGGGGTATTTTAAATTTAAAATATCAAATTTAAAATATCTCAACGTTCGTCGAATTTGACCTACATCTAAACAATTAAGGTAAAGCGAATTGATATAATAAAAATATAAAGTCATTGAATATAATTTTCCCGCTTATCACATTTACAATAGCATGAAATAGGTTAACAATACCATGAAATAGGTTAACAATATACTGTGTTGCTTCTTCTTGGATTCCGAATCACGACGTTCGTCAATTTACTTGCTAAAGGTGTGCTTGCTTACTTGCTCTTTTTGCAATGCGGATATAAATATTCATAATATACGTAACTTACGATTTTTTTAGGCTCTTCAAAGGCGGGGTGTTGCAATGAAACGCGCAGAAGAGGCAGGGAAAAGGAAGCGGCTTTAGCGCAATGCACGCAACCAGCATTCGCGACTGTACACAACACGCGTTTGTTGCCGCCCCACCAATGCAACTCGCTCAGGCCCGTGTTTACTGAAAAAGTTTACTTACACTCCAACTGTTATGGACAGGCTTACCGTTAGGCACACCACTTGATATTATAAAAAAAAAATCATAAAAACCTACATCACAAGCTATTGTGAATTTGAACACCATCACAGTGAAATAGTAATATTATTAAAATATTCGACTATATCGAACTCAACTTTTCATTACTTGTTATAATTATGAATACAAAGATGGAATACAAAAAAAATTACTTCGATCTGACAGGACTCGAACCTGCGTCTGTGCCAAACTAGGGCTACCGCTCTTACCAACTGAATTACAGATCGAATCAGCAGACCTTACAAATGTAACCAACTTACAGATATTTTGTATTCGGTTTTTCGCCATAAGTAACACATGTATTTTAATATAAAATTTTAATATAAAAAAAATAAATTTAATATAAATAATATTTAAATTTTAATAATTATAACACACCAAATTTCGTTTCACATAGCATGGTTCCGTTGGCGTTTGAGACTTGAAATTTCTAGAGATGGAGTGATGTATAATCGAATGAAAAATAACCGATTTAAATATCTTATCGAGATAATTTGTAACGAGGAGAAAATCGATTTACAGAAAATATAAAGAAGAAAATACTATGTTATTAAGTAACCAAAAAACCTACACAACAAATAAAAAAATCAACAACAACCAAATAAAAAGTCAACAACAAAGCATAAAATGAACTGCAACGAAACGAACTTTGTCCATTGCTCCAAAACATCACGCAAAGCTCAAAACAAAGGAAAACGACCCGCATTCAATGTGCATGCACTCGTATTGACGCGACAGTCGATTCGATTTTAAAGATTTTATGGCGTAAATCTTTATGGATAAAATATTCCGTATTACGCAGCAGTAATCGAGATATTTTATGTTTATCATTTCATTTTCTTTATATATTCCAATTTTATTTAAAATTAAAAGTGCAAAAAAAAATATTGTTTGTTTTAGATACAATGCGATAAATTAACGATTTCTTTTTGTAACCTGGTAGCCAGATTAGTTATAAACAGTATGCACGGAACATAGAAATTGGAAATGTCACAGGACTCATCCTATGTAATGTAAATGTACTTTATTCGAGTAATTTCACAAAAAATGAATAAATATCATATTAGTTAAACATCATAATATGCAATAAAATCAATTGTAATTACTTACCAAAAGCATCATCTCCAGATAATGTTGCAGTAGGCCAGAGAGGTGTGAACGAAACGCCACTGGCCGGTATTCGGGTTCGCACGCGGGCGGGCCACACCGAAACACGTGACGACATTTCGCAGCCAGTAGGACCCACCGAACACACTGCACCCATGGAGGCAATTGGATCCATTGATGGGTACGCGCCGACATCTGTTACAATTAATTTATAATTATTTTTGCGTATCGTCGGGGATAGTGCAAATCCGCGTATATAGTATTGGCAAAAGCGCGTATCTGCACCAAACCAAATTTCACTGGAGAGGGATTTAACGTCATTACTAAATTTTTGCACAGTAAGTATTAATTTATGTTGTCTACGGACTGATAACAATAGATTCCCGCAAATCATGCTAATTTGGTTGCCACAATATTTACGCGGATTTGGTTTGGCGACTAAATTACCGAAATGAAGACTCGTAATCAAATGCTAGTTACGCGTAATTGCAGTATCCCCGACGATATTACTTATATTATTATTGCAAGCTCCAATAATGATAATTCGTGTTCTCAAACATTTTGAGCCTTTGGAAACTTCGTAAACTGTTAAGGTGTTGTATCTCAGTTTTACAATTAATTGAACGCGAACAAGAGTGGAATGACTTGTAGAAGCGCTGCAGAACGCTGCAGTGGCGCGACTGTGACACGGCAATCGCGCGTAAGGTTGTTGCGAATATCAGCATCATAATATAATCCGTATGAATTAAAATATCCGCATCATCCTCCGCATTCATCGATGCTGATATTAATTACGGTTATTCGCGATGTGATATTAATTTACAAATCATCCAGAAAAAGACTGCAAGTCCAAAAAGCAGCTTACCCGTCATTCTTATCATTGATAAACCTCCAGTGCGATAAAGTTAGGCAAGCTGAATGATAAAATCAATCGGCAGGTCGATTTGTTTGTTAACGATTAAAAAACATTAATTTAGATTCAAAAAGGATCTTCACATTTTGCACGATTTTTTTAAAGAGAAAACATGAACACCCGCTCTGATGTCTAAAAAATCGACATCAGCAACAACATCGGTCTGTAACGCTTCAGTAATTTTTAGATCACCATATGTTCATTTATTATTTAATTGTTACTGCAAATGTGGAGGGTGCGTGTCAGCAACTAATCTTCTAAATATTGTATAAAAATTAGTAGAAGCGCCGCTGCAGCGCTTGTACAGGCGTCTAATTTTAAGGCACCCAAAATTATTTTTTTTATACACGACATGGGGATCTTTGACCTCAATTATCTCAAGGCCACAGATCGAGATACAAAATTTGTGAAATTTGAGTAGATGGTGAGATAGCTTCTTTTTATTCCTTTTTTTTATGACACTAAGCGACGCCGACGAGACGAACAAGTCGTACGCCTATACGCGGTAAGCTACACGCCTGTCCTTAGCAGTCCAGCTTCCCTCGCTACGCTTAATTATGTATATTATTGAAGGTCTCTTTTGCTGTAAACATTATAATAATATAAAAACCAATGTATGCTTAGATTATTTAAAAAATCAACTAACCCATCACGCAACAGTTATGTGGCCGCTCATCATGGTAAGGATATAAAACTGTGATATTGTTCTCTTTGGTTCGCAGCAAAGGAGATTCGTTGTGAAGATCGTAATATGCCACAGTCCCATCGCTGTATCCCACTATGATTACGGAGTGACCTTTTTGCTAAAAAAATAAATGATTATTTTAATTAAAAATATTACGTCATTTCAAAGCATAGCATATTTTCAAAAAGCATGCCAATAAATACAGCATGTTAAAAAAGCACATCTGATATTTTAAGGAGTGACTCTACCTACGACTCCGAACAAATAAACAACTTTTTATACAAACGGCTGACAAACTGGTACCAAGTTTGGAATTTCAAATTAGACATGAGATACTTAGCGATTGTCTGACAGTAACATAGGAAAAGGCGCCCGTGAAATTTTATACATATTTTTTAACAGTCGGCAATAACAGTCTTTGTTTGCCAATTACGACGAAAATATAATCCTAAATAAAAAACAATACTTTTTCCTCGGCTTTTTGCACGAAGTCATTAATTGCCACAAAATTTATATAGCAATTAATGACTTATTGCAATAAGCCGGCGTTTCATAAATAAAAACCGACCTCAAAAGTTCGTGGAATTACACATACTATTTGCTAAATTTAATTGAAATCCGATACCGGAAAGTGCGCGAAACCGGGTTCAGCCCCTAGTTTGCCACCCTTAGGGGTGGAATATTTTCTTTAAATTTAATTGGGACCCATCGAGTATATAACCAGAAATAGAGACGAAATAAGAGCCATCCATCCCTGGCAACACATCAGGTAAATGGGCCTTATTTCATTTTTAAATATCGACTCTCGTTTGCAATGTAATAATAGAAAACAGAAATAGTACAGCGCCAACAACTGACCTGTGTGTACGTCTCCGTATATTTCAAAAATATTGTGTATTTATTGTAATAAAGATCTCTAACTATGGGGGCCTGTTCCATTAGGTGGTGTGGGAAAAACAGCAAAACATCATAAATTTACAAGAAAAAGGGAAACATATTTCATCGGTAATTAAATATGTAATTTTTCAATTTTCATCTGTTATAGTAAAGCTGAAGTTATACTGGTGATTTTAAAGTAAAACAATTGACGAGACACCCGTCAATTGTTTCGAATTCGGGCTGGCCAATCGGAGCGCTTTTGATTTGGCAGAATAGTTTTTAATTGTTACTGATTAAGTATTTACTCGATGTTGAGACCAATACTGAGGTACCCTCTTTTCAACAAAAAAAAAATAAAAATAGGTTCACAATCTGGAGTAATCAGGTAATATAGTCAGGTATATATAAATATATATATACAAAAAAAATACAGTCGAATTGTGAACTTCCTTCTTTTGAAGTCGGCTAAAAGTAGGGAACATAAGATACCATTTTATTAATGCCCTCTCTTCATCACCTTTATGTAAACTATATAATGTAAACATACCGGTGACCAATTTATAGAAGTAGCTTGATACTTCTTGTCAGGCATCGTAGATAATCGCATCTCCAGGACAGGTTCCATTTTGTAGATCAAAGTGTCTCTGAAAATTTATAAATATATTAATAAACACGCGGGCGCATCCAAGGGACCGACTGATAGTCGCAATATAGGTCAAGTGCAATGCAAGCTTCCATCCCACCCCCTCAGCGAGGGGACCTAAGGGACAGGTGTTTACGCTATACGCTCAATCAGTCAATTGGTCAATTTAAATAATTTTATTTTTACATGAAAGTAAAATTTTATGAATAATTAATTAAAAGTCATGGAACAAAAGTTGTAAAATTTTCTAATTCAATTATTTTTTTGTGAAATTGCTCCACTAGTTTGTTATAATTAGTAATACAAAGCTCGAACACTTAGATTTTAGAGGATGACTTTTTAGTCACCATCCAAGTTTTTAATATTTATGATCTTTGGTGAAAAAAATTAACTGTGTTCTTTCTTTTAGTATCTATCACTCAGTACTAAAATGTTGAAACGACGCCATAAATAAATATAGTAACATGCGTTCTATGTCTACCAATTTTTGTTCAAATCTAATA